TGAAGCAGTCATTCATGCAAAAGGATTCCCGACCAAGTATTGAGTGCATAACTGAACATGATTATTTGAAGGTTGGTGTTTTTTGTATTAAAAACACTTGTCTTTCATTGGTGGGATGAAATATGCTAATTTTTTGGGACAGGCATTTTGGGTTTTCATGAGCTGTATGCCATAATCATCAGTATTAAAACAATTAAAGAGCTGAAATATTTCAGTTGGTATGCAATGAATCTGAAATATATGAAAGTTTCATTTTTATCATTACATTATGGAAAATAATGACCTTTATCACAATATGCTCATTTTTTGAGAAGGACCTTTATATATATATATATATATATATATATATATATATATATATGGGCACAGGTCCCGGAGGTGAAAATGATTACACATCCCACCCCCATATGCCACCGTGTGCTCACTCCAGACCCTATATATGCATGTGTCGTGAGAATTTAACCAGATTATAACTGTTTATTGTTGTCATCTTTCTTTGTTGAAATCAGGTCTCTCTTGTAAATGAGTCCTCGAGGCTCAATGGGATTACGTGTCTAAATAAAGGTTGAATGAATGAATGTTATATGTGAGTGTCTAGGTTGTTTAATAAAATTGAAATTGGTTCTCTGCATTTAACCCATCACAACTGGGATGCACCCAGGTGGGGCGGTGGGCAGCTGTGTGAGCACCTGGACATCAATTAGGGACTGGGTGTCTTACTCAGAGACACCATGACGTGGGAATAGACAGGAAAGGAGCAACAGAAACACTCCGCTCCAGCAGGAGCACTGGAGGGATTTCTTTACTTTTAATTCCTGCGAGAAGAAGAAGAAAGTCACTTCCGCCTCTTTCTGATGATGTCACTTCCTTTCTGTTCGAGCCAATCTCGAAGTGAACACGCGTTCTCCTTCTTATCACAAGTAAGTGTCTGTTTAAGACAAAATTCAAGAATCAATCCCTGAAAAAAATAACTGTTATCAAAAGTAAAGAAGTAAACTTCCAGCCCCGACAGCTCAAAACTTTAAGCAGCGCCATCTTGACGAGAATGACGTATTTTACTGCTCGTTAGCTGTTAGCTTAGCTGCGGAGGGAAGAGCGCTGCTTTATGGCTGGAATATCGCCAAGTTTTTCTTTTATAAGCCGGGTTTGTCACAAAGAACAAAGTTGTGTTAAAGCAGAGACATGTTTAATACGCAACAATATGTTAACGTGTTCGAAATCCGTCTCGTCCTCGACTCCGACATGTAGGTTTGATGTTCGTGCTTGAAACAAGTTCAAGTTGTGTTTGATGCTGCTCAATAATCCAGGTAGAAACATTTAAAAACGTTAAGTGTGGTCCTCTGGACATTCAAAAAACAAAACAAAAAAGTAGAAAAGTTTCATCCTGAGGACTTCCTCAGTCTGAGGAGCTGTATTCAGCTCAGTCTCTTAAATAGCACCTTCTCAGAGTGGATCAACCAGTTTGCTGCTGACAACCAGAACCAGCTGATCACATGCTCAAGAAGGACCATCAGCCTAACAATGGATCATTAGCACCTGATGGCTGTTTACTGTTCACAGAGGGCTGAGTGATACTAGTAAAAAAGGAGGAACCCAGACCAGTGGTCATTCCATATGTTGAGGGAGTATCAGAGAAACTGAGACGTTTATTTTCTAAACATAACGTCCCAGTGGCTTTTAAACCCCAAAATACATTAAAGACTGGTTCATCCCAAAGATCCAGTCCCCCGGCACAAACAGAGTAATGTTGCGTATGCTGTTCAGTGTCAGGAGGTGATCAGTCTTACATCGTGGAAACAAAACAGCCACTGGCCAAAAGGATGGACCAGCACAGAAGGTCTACACTCATCTCCAGGCCAGAGGTCACTCTTTCAGGGATGAAGATGTTCACCTCCTGGACAGAGAGGAACGATGGTTTGAGAGAGGAGTAAAGGAGGCCATCTTTGTGAAAAGAAACCGTCCATCATTAAACAGGGGTGGAGCCTCCGGGTTCAACTGTCCCCCTCTTACAATGCTGTGATTGCTAGTATCACTCAACCCTCTGTGAACAGTAAACAGCCATCAGGTGCTAATGATCCATTGTTAGGCTGATGGTCCTTCTTGAGCATGTGATCAGCTGGTTCTGGTTGTCAGCAGCAAACTGGTTGATCCACTCTGAGAAGGTGCTATTTAAGAGACTGAGCTGAATACAGCACCTCAGACTGAGGAAGTCCTCAGGATGAGAGACGAAATGTTTCTACATTTTTTTGTTGTTTTGCTTTGTTTTGTTTTTCTGAATGTCCAGAGGACCAGATTGAACTTTTTTAGAAAGCTACACACTAATATCTTAAAGTTAGCGTTACACGGATCCTAGTTGAAGTCACCACGCTGCACGTGTTCAGCTGCAGTGATGTTAACAAACGTATCGTCACTGCAGCTGAAACACAGCTCCGTCCTGGGATGAAGCCGAGTCCGGTCGTGCAGATGTTGAATCAGGCCGACTTGAACACAGAGGAGGAGGCTGCGCTCGTCTCTCCTTGCAGACACACACGGAGCAACTTTACGCTCTTGAATTGATTGAGTGCACGTTCAGGCGCTTCGTATCACGCCTTGCCTTCAGACGCACGTGAACCTCGTCTGTGCTTCTCCTGTTGCAGCACTGGCTGTAACGTGACGTGCTTTCCACGTTACAGCCAGTGCTTCTCAATTATCTCCCCCCCCCCCCAGAAGAAGTAAACGTTTCCCCCCCCCCCCAACTCTCCGTCAGGACTGTAATGTGTATAAAATTGTTATAAGTACACCTCTGCCTAACACTGTGTCCTTATTACCATTGAAGGGGAAACAATAATAATATAAGTGAAGTTACAACAAAGAATAACTTTATGAACGTTGTTTTTGAGTCTGTAACAGAAACAACTTGAAGTGCATCGTTTTGCCTAAAAAAATCCTTATTAAACTAAACATTTTGGACCATTTGATACTGAAAAATCAAATTAAATATAATCAGTAACTAATAATAAATTCAAATTGATCAGCAACATTTTAACTCAGGAGTGTTAAATAAAACACTTTGACCTACAAAACAAAAATGAATAAAACAATTTATGCTGATTTTTTTTCTTTTTTATCAAAAAGATGAATTCAGGATCAGTGAACACACTCATGGATGAAAGAAACAGAAAAGATCAGCAGCTGAACTGAGGACGTGAATTCATTTTGTTGGCAACGATTCGAGTCCAACATTTATTAAACTTTGTAGAAGTCGTGCTTTCACAAACTCATCGATTAAACTAAAACATTTAGTGACACAAACAGGGAAGAGGAGCAGGTGTCGCTCTCGCTTCACTTTACTGTGCTGCACGTGCACTGTGTCCAGAGCGCATGCACGTGAGAACAGCAGCGGAGGAGACACACGGCGGCCATATTTGTTCATGACTTTATTATCAGGAACACCCCCAGCATTGGGGGGGCGCCCCACTATTTGAGAAGGACTGCGCTCCGGCCAGTCACCGACAGACCGGGTGCTTTTTGATCCATACACCGACCCGCAGTTCTGTCGGTGCCATAAAGAAGTGAGTCCGGTGCTCGGCCCGTGTGTCGTGAGCGTCCGTTCAGTCCTCGTCACTTTGTGTTGCAGGATGCGTTACGTCGCTGCTTACCTGCTCGCAGCCCTGGGTGGCAACGAGAGCCCCGAGGCGAAAGACATCAAGAAGATCCTGGAGAGTGTGGGCATCGAGGCTGATGACACCAAGATGTCCAAGGTTTTCAAACACTCGTGATTTTATCACCTGCTCACATCTGGACATGTTAACAACATCTGCTCACATCTGGACATGTTAACAACATCTGCTCACATCTGGACATGTTAACAACATCTGCTCACATCTGGACATGTTAACAAGATTTCTCTTTGAACAGGTCATCTCTGAGCTTAAGGGCAAGAATGTGAACGAGGTGATTGCCAGCGGTAAGTTTCTCGTTTGTTCGCTTTATTTGGAGTTGGTAACGTGTGTGCGCGCTCGGTGTGCCGGTGCTGTGCACTGCGCTCGTTCTGGCAACACGTTGAGGACATTTTGCTCTCGCAGTGTAAAATACTAACAAAATAATGAACGTTAGATTTTAAAAAGCACGTGGAAAGAACCAAAACACTGAAGTTGAATGCCGACCATGAATACTGGAAGTAGTGAGCATTGATGTAACTGTAAAAAGGTTTAGCTCTTCTTCCATGTGCACGCCCCTCTGCGTGAAGCGCTTGTTGGAGTTTCAACTCATTTCATTTCAACCACATTTTTGCTTGTAATTTTTTCAAAAGGTTGTCTGCACTCATCGTGTTTGGTCCGGTAACGAGAACAAACACCGAGTTCAAATATGTTTTTTCATCCATTCAACCTTTGTTTAGACGGGTTCATCCCTTCAGCTGCTCAGCCGACGGGTTTGCAAAAGATGAGGATCCTAACCTGTGGAGCTGTAACAGCAGCCGTGTGTGACCTTCACTGACCTCTTGTCCAACTGAAAACTACATGAATCTAAATAAATGCAACTCAGTTCATTTATAAAATGTAGTTGTACACAGGTTGCTCTGGAAATACTTCATTCTTTGTCTTGCCATAGTTTATTGAACTTGCTTGCTCCTACAAGAACCCTGCAGATGTTGGAGGCTGCAGATGTTGGATGCTGCAGATGTTGGATGCTGCAGATGTTGGATGCTGTCTATCATGGTGCACTAAGATTCATAACTGGCTGTAATTACCGTACCCACCACTGCACCCAGTATTCACTGGTTAACTGGTCACCATTAACTTCACACAGACTCTCCCACTGGTACATTTCCATCTTTAAATCACTTCCTGGTCTGCTGCCTTCATACATCTCCTCCTACAGGTCTCTGTGTGAGTGCAGCTACAGCGTGCGCTCTCAGGACATTATTACCTGCAGTGTTCCCTCAGTGAGGACTGAACTAGACAAAAGGACCTTCTCCTACTCCGCTCCTGTTTCCTGGAATATCTTGTAAAAAGATCTGAAGCTCTCGACCTTTGACCTCTCTAAGTGGCTTTAAGAATCTGTTGGACTCCTGGCAGGGACCAATGCAGACATGTTCCTGTTTTTAGTTTTATACATTCACCTTAGAATCTAGCTGTTTTTTTTTTTGTTACCTTTTTAAGCCATCCTATTTGATAAAATAAAAAAAAGCTGCAGTATGACTTTTTATAACTGTTTATTGTTGTCATCATTCTTTATTAAATCAGGTCTCTCTTGTGAATGAGTCCTGGAGGCTCAATGGGACTACCTGTCTAAATAAAGGTTGATTGAGTGCTTGTGTTTTTGTGGGTTAACTTGAATCTCCTTGGTTTCTCCTCAGGTTACAGTAAACTGGCCAGCGTGCCAGCAGGGGGCGCTGTAGCAGTTGCCAGCTCTGCGGGCGCCGGCTCAGGTGGAGCTGCAGCTCCTGCTGCAGGTGAGTTTCTGAGACACTTGGCACAAATATTAAAAATTATAAACACGTTTCCAAGTGTCATTTTGGAACGAAACATGCTCTTAAGGTATTTTAACAGTATGTTGTATAAATGGCTTCATTTGTTTCCGTTGAAATCATTTCAGTACGTCGTGTAAAGCTTTTTGTGAAATGACGTGTGTTTTGGCTCTTGCAGCTGCTGAGGAGAAAAAGGAAGAGAAGAAAGAAGAGTCCGAGGAGTCTGATGACGATATGGGATTCGGCCTCTTTGACTAAACTCTTTCATTTCATAAATAAAGTTTGTAAAAGCTTTGCTGTTGTTGTCAAATGTTTGGGAAACTATTTAAACTCAACAAAATACGTCCCAAAATTTTAAATGTTTGCCAAATGGATGGAGAAGAATCCATCCAGAGGACCGGACTCAACCTAGTTCGGTTTATTTACCTGGAGCTTCAGCTGAAACTCTTTATATTTGTTTTAATGCTTTCCGTGCGTTTTTTGGCATCTCCCACAGTTTTGGTGCTGTTCCTTATATCAAACCGTTCAGCTGTTTGAGGACAAGTCTGCTGTGACTTGTTGTTGGTGCAACTTTAGATTCTTCAGATATTTAGCTGTTTCTGCCATTTTGGCTCATTTTACAACCTTATTAACTTTTAATTTGTTTACAACCTTGTACTAATACTTTCGCATTTAGACCTGGTTACGGTTCTTTCAGCTTCCTGAGTTCCTTGTGCCAAATTTTCAACAAATTTCAGCTGATTTGTGCTCCTTTCAGCCTGTTTCATCCAACTTCTGCTAATTTCAGCTTGTTCTGCTCCTTTCAGCTTATTTCAGCTAGCATTTAGCTGTTTTATGCCAATTTCATCTTTATTAGCTAATTCCACAATTTTTGCAATCATTAAACTTTTTTCAGCCTAATTCAGCAAAAACATGCTCCCCCAACTTCCTTCTAGTAATTTAAGCTTCTTTCTGCCCGTTTTAGCTACTGTTCAGCTGTTTTGAGCAAATATCAGCTTTTCTCTGATAATTTCGATTTTATTGTGCTAATTTATGCCTACTTCAGCCTTAGTGGGCACAATTAAGCTCCCTCCTCTTCCTTTTGGAAACTAAAGCTGTTTTCAATGTTTCTTTAGCTACTATTCAGCTGTTTCATAGAAAAAATGTGATAACCGCCATTTTTTGGAGCTCTTCAGTTGAAATTTGGCATATTGGTAGCTGACAAGAATCCCTAATAGACTGAAAATCCACGATGGCCGCCTTAGCAAAAAAAAAGGAATCAGCCAGTTTTAGTCACCGAGCTGAACGTTGGTGTGATGATAGCTGACAATTACATCAAAGGCCACCAACGCTTTTTTAATGGATTTAACAACCATTGTTCCAGCTGAAATTTGGTGAGGTTATAGCTGAGGACCTTCCCCATCACATACTGAATCCAAATCAAAAATCCAAGATGGCCGCCTTAGCTGAAAGAAAAAATACAACTGGCATTTTTAGAGCTATTCAGCTGAAATGTGTTGTAGTGGTAGCTGAGAGCGAACAGTACTGTCACATGAACAGTTCATATCGGCAGCAGCCTGGCAGTCCATTACAATTTTCAGTCAGGTCATCTGGACAGTTTCTTTTTTTTTTTGTGCTGAAATGTTTCACCTTCCATCCAGAAGGCTTCATCAGTCAAGGAAACAACAAAACTGATTCTTCCCCCAACAGATTACTCCAAAGTGGAACAAACCAGTTATGTTGGTGCTAAGATGGTGTCTTTGGCACACCCCCTCCTCTGGAGCCGGCCCTCTTCCTTGACAGTCATGTCAAACTGGTTCAAAACCAACAAAGTCCATGCTCAATAATCCAGGTATACAGATGACCTGACTGAAAATTGTTGTATTGAATACCTGGATTATTGAGCATGGACTTATTTGATTAGGAACAATTTTGCACATTCTGCTTCCTTCTGATATTTGAAGCTTCTTTCTGATGTTTTAAGCTACTTTTCAACTGTTTTCCAGGTCCAGGTGTATCTGAAAGACAAAAAAACATGTTAAGGATAGAAAAAATAATTACAAATACAAACAGGTTGAGAAGAGTAAGTAAAGACAGTAGCAGAGTGAAAAGTGTGGTCAGTTTGTCCTCCAGCAGTCTGAGCCTATAGCAGCAGAACTAAGGGACAGCTCAGGAAACCCAAGCCGACCCTAACTATAGGATTTATCAAAAAGGAACGTCTTCAGCCTAGTTTTAAAACTGGACAATGTGTCAGCCTCACGGACAGAGATTGGAAGTTGGTTCCACAAGAGAGGAGCCTGAGAACTGAAAGATCTGCCTCCCATTCTGTTTTTGGAAATTCTAGGAACCACAAGTAAACCTGCAGTCTGAGAGCGAAGTGCTCTGTTAGTAAAATATGGAACAATAAGATCTGTAATATAAGATGGAGCTAGGTTGTTGAGTGCAAGCTTCCCATGCCACAAGCGCTCATGCAACCCCATACCATCAGTGATGCAGGCTTCTGAACGGAGCGTTGATAACAACTTGGGCTATCCTTGTCCTCTCTGGTCCGAATGACATGGCGTTCCAGTGTTCCATAAAGAACTTCAAATCGTGACTCATCTGACCACAGAACAGTCTTCCATTTTGCCACACTCCATTTTAAATGACCCCTGGCCCAGTGCAAACGTCTGAGCTTGTGGAGCTTGCTTAGAAATGACCTCCTCTTTGCACTGTAGAGTTTCAGCTGGCAACGGCAGATGGCACGGTGGATTGTGTTCACTGACGATGCTTTCTGGAAGTATTCCTGAGCCCATTCTGTTATTTCCTTGACA